ATGCAGAACCAAACACATGTTGGCCTTCATATGATATAACAACTTTTAGAAACAGCAGTTATGGTTAGTCAAAATTTATATTGTCTTGCATGCCAACTTCCGACTAGTAATATACATAATTGTTATGTTTTGTCTTTATAATATAAATATTCAATCTTATATTTGCAAACAACTATGGAACAGCCAGAGAGAAAACAAGAAAGGCTGAATTTACATCAGACTTAACATTTGAAACTGACAATGACAAAGTCGGCAAACAAAAAATCTTCAAAAAGATTTATTAATCATCGGATGAAGAAGTTGAAGAATATACTAAAATACGAACGCCTCCAACTATAAAAGGTATGTCCCAGTATTAAATATTGTATGATTTAATATTTATATTAATATTAAAACTATTTTTAGATCTTACATTTGTTTCCACAACTAGACGTTGCGGTTTTTCAATATTATTTTTTATAGACATGTAGTTTTTTTAAATTCTCAATTTTTTCTTTCTGCGTGCAAAAAAGTACGTGTGTTTGCTTAAAACCTGCCATATATACTTCTTTTCGTAAAGAATCCAAATAGCACAGAGAATTCAAAAAATTCAATCGTATGTCATCAAGTATAAGTTCATTTTAAGATGCAAAAAGAAATCCATTTTAGAAAAGAATTCTTTTTACATCTCAAAATAAACTCAGAATTAATAACATAATATTCAATTCTTTTTAAACTCTCTGTGCTATGTAAGAAGACTTGCTCCTTTAACTTCTAATGGAAAGTGTCAACTTTAAATTATATATGCAATGGAATTTTGGCAAAATTGCAGCAAACCGAAAGTAATTAAATTTACAATTGGCACTATGGGACATAGAAAATCTGATGCTAATTGTGAAAGGTTCAATTATTATTATTGGGAGTGTGAATAAGTTCTCGCCGTTTCACCATCAGATGACGGTATAAAAATTTTGTGTGTATTATTCAAGATGATGACGCATCTATATTGAAGTTCTATAACCTATGTTTAAAATCAGTGCCTTTCCATTAACCTATAAAGAACATTTTCTTTTCGTAGCGTAAAACATGTCAAATTTTGTGCCAAATAAACCGTTTTTGCGGGGAATTTTATTGCACTACTTTATTCAGAAGAAATCTGCAGCTGAAGCACACAGAATTCTTGTAGAAACCTATGGTGATCATGCTCTGTCGGAAAGAACATGCAGAGATTGGTTTAACCGATTTAAAAATGGTGATTTTGATGTTTAAGATAGAGAACGCAGTGGTGCACCAAAAAAGTTTCAAGACGAAGAATTGGAAACATTACTTGCTG